TATATACTGTGTTGCTAGAAGCAGCGGCAGGTTATGTTTTACGTACATGGATGTGAGCCACGTTAAAATAAAGAAGCTTGCTAACTACTACGGATGTTTTATTGAAAACACGACATGGTACCAGGAGTGAACCAGTAAAGCAGGTCATCATGGACAGTGTTAAGCCACCAGATGCCGTCAACTGGAACGGAAATGTGGACTGTGAGTGGCGAACTTTTAAACAGCGGTTTATGCTATACCTGCAAGCTGTCGGCCTAGATAGTAAGCCTGATACACGGAAGATTGCACTGCTTCTTACCGTAGCAGGTCCACAAGCGGTGGAAGTATATAACACGTTTGTGTTCGCAACTGCAGAAGACAAAGAAAAGTTTGACGAAGTAGTGAGAAAGTTTGATGAACACTGTTCGCCCAAAAAGAATGAAACATTTGAGAGGTACGTCTTTCGGTCACGTATACAACAACCTTCAGAGAGTTTTGATACGTTTCTGACTGACCTCAAGTTAAAGGCAAGAACATGCAATTTTGGACAGCTGCAAGAATCTATGATAAGAGATCAGATCGTATTTGGAATAAAAGATATAAAGATAAGAGAGAGGCTTCTGAGAGAGGCGGATCTGACTTTAGCAAGTGCTGTGAAAGTATGTCATGCCAGCGAGCTCGCCATACAACATGCAAAAACCTTCAGCGGGTCGCCGAGGGAAACAGACACGGAAAGCACAGCTGTAGCTGCAGTTAATACACGGCAGGCAGGGCGCACGTACAAGAAAGAACAGAAAGAATCAAAAGACACTTTCTTGTGCAAAAGATGTGGCACAAAACATGGAAGGAAACAATGCCCAGCTTATGGTAAAATATGCAAAAAATGCAATGGACAAAACCATTTTGCCAAGCAATGTTTTTCAAAGAATAAACAAAAAGAAAGAGTACACACAGTAGAAGAAACTGCTCTCAGTGACACGTTTTTTGTGGGAATGGTAATGCAGCAAGATACACCCATGGACCAACCTGCAGTCAGTACAGTGAAGCAGGACAAATGGACAGAGATGTTACCAGTGAACGGAGCCCTGGTAACTTTCAAACTGGACACAGGAGCCAAGGCTAATCTGGTGAATGAGCTGGATGTGAAAGCGATGAAAACGAAACCACACATATTCCAAAATAACAGTTTACTCCAAGCATATAATGGAGAACCAATCAAAACCAAAGGTAAATGCAGGCTCAGGGTACAAGTAAAAGGAAAATATCACAGTCTGATGTTTATCATTGTGCCAGAGGGACATGAATCTCTGTTGGGAGATAAAGCATGTGAGAGACTCGGCCTAGTCAGACGGGTATACAG